GCCGCCTGAGGCGCTCGGGACGGTTTCCCGCCCCCGGTGTATGGGCAAATCCAGCCTGGGGGCGCCCTGAATGGGAGGCCGCACCAGTCGTATCCATGTAAGCACCGAGTGGTGCTTCCATGTGGGGCCTAGCGCTATTTTCATGAGCGTAGGGGTTGTGGGTTGCCCAGGACGAAAACCCACCCCCGCTGCATCAACCAGCACAGCTCGGAATCGCTCCGAATGGAACGAGACGTCTGCTGCGCCAGCGTCTGCAGCACGGGGCGGCCCCTCGCGGGACCTGGCATGTACTGTGTTATTACCAGCAAACTGGGGTCTGTCCCGACGAAGCCCCGCCCCCGCTGCATCGGACAGCACAAATCGGGATCGCTCCGACATTACAAACAGTTTGTACACGGCGAGTCGCAACATGAACAGCGGTATTAAACTTCATTAAGTCAGTTATTGATTACGTGAAGTGCGTGTGGAACGGTTTTTGTCGCAGCAATTGCGTTTATCCCTTGCATGTGTGTATACGCGTGTGTGTCAGTACAAGTCTACCATCGCCTGATCGCGCGGGCGCGCGCGGCGCTGAGTTGTTACTTTGTAACAACACAGTGGTGGAGCGTAGCAAAATGATGTTCGCCGTATTTTATGGCGGCCAAAGGACTGTTTAGTAGACAAATTTGTTTGGTCCTTGGTACGGGGTATTAGTTTTACCAACTGCATTGAATGACCGATCAAAATGAAGCTTACAAAATCCTCTTTAGAGTGCCAAGTGTGCATTTATTACTCGAAGTAACGGCGCGTCATGAATCCTGGAACTTTCAGTGCAGTACGCACACTGCGGTAGTCCGCCGGGCACACTGTCAATTACGTGCAAATCTCCGTTGCTCATTCTGCTGTTAGTCAAAATGTGCGTGTTGTCACAAGTAGGGAAATGTACCAGGTACGGATGTTTAATTGTTCATTTTGTAAAACTTTGCCTCCAGAATGTTTAAGTAATATATCTTCTAGTTTAAACTCGGTGTACATTAATCTGACAGTCTTGGAAACAGCCGTGAGGCCGTCATTTTTCTTTGCTTTATGTAGAATCGCTATGGAGTAGAGCGCATCGTGTTCATGCCACTACAAGTACACGCGCATGGTCGTCTATGGAAGATGCGACTGAACTGTTTGTAATGAGTGGAATGTACCGTCTGTTGCGCCATCGTCTACAGCACGGGGCGACCCCTCGTGGGACCTGGCACGTGTGTTGATGCGGGGTGTCTCCGGACGATCAAGCCCGGCCAGCCCCGCTTTATGAACAGGCGCAACTCGGCAGTTTTTGTCACTTCGTGGGATCATAATTCGCGGAGGCTTTAACTATTTGTACTTTTTTCGACGCAACAAACTTGTTACTTTTGCGCGTCACGACAGTTGAACGCGCGCCCTTCTGTTCTTTTTCAACATCGTTCGCTGCGCGCGTGTATGCTCCCATCCTGCCGCGTTGTAGACCAATGTATAATTCCTCCGGCCTTGTTCACGAGGTGACTTTTTGTCACTTCGTGAAAACATTTTACACTTTTTTACACTTCGTAAAAATGAAAATCACTGATTTCAGGCTTTTTGCCAATTGTTTGTTTACAATAATTAAGAAAATAAACAAAATTTGCCTTGAAACTTGGTCAAATTGTTCCTTGAGACAACTATAATAAAAATGGCTTGTAAAACTCAAAATCGAATAATTATCGATTTTCGAGGTTTTTGTCACTTCGTGAGCAAAGCGATGAATTAGTCTTATTGCTAAATATTGTGTTGACATATAAGAATGATAGTTATTGCTAAGAAAAGTTGTCATCCGTGTGCTCTTTGTACATGAGGTTGTATTTTGCATTATTGAATATTGTACCATAAAGCTGCCATTTTTTCATTTAAATTGCCCTTTTTATGTGCTTATATGAAAACAAGAAAAGGCACTATGCATACGTGAGTACAATTAATTTCGGCCATATCTTTGTGACACACAATTTGTCAAAAGGTACCATGCATTTGTACAATTATTAAATGTCCATTTTGTTTGTCTACACAATTACTATTTTGTTTGTACACACAATTACCATTTTTGTTATAAACACAATTGTGTCCTTTGCATTGCTAAATATTGTACGTTGAAATACCTTTCCATATAGGCCTACCCGCCAAATTGTTTATATACGTGTGTAATATACCGTGTCACTTTTTTTCTAACACGACATACCTTTTGGTGCATTGCGCATTTTTTACATTGATACTGTAACGGCGGTGCCGGGCCGCGCGGCAGAGGGGCGCCAGCACGGACCCACGGTGCAACCATAGCGTTGGGACCACTGGCTGCTGGGCGGGAACCCGTTGCCAGCACGGACCCACGGTGCAACCGTAGCGTTGGGACCACTGCTGCTGGGCCGGGAGACCCGTTGCCAGACTGCGCCGACGCAGTAGTGTGACTTTTGAATAGCGCCTTTTTTGTTGTGAGTTGTACAAAGGAGAGCCTCGTGTAAAGAAAGTGGCAAGAATAAATGGCTTGAGAGCCCCGAAACCCTGAAGAATAGTGTCTGTGGTTTCCTTCGTCTGGCGTGTGAGAACCCCAGAATTCGTTCTACCTTACATTGGTGGCAGCCGTGGCGTGTCTGACGGAGGAAAAACAGGTAGAATTTGGAGTGTTTTTCGCCATGAATACACCGGGTCGAGTTAGACGAGTCTGGCGTCCGACTCGCCACGCGGGCGGGTACGCCCGCTGGATCAGGGCTAGCAGAGCGTAAACCAACTGGAGAGATGGCCAGCAAAGCGTTCGTCACGTTGGATGACTCGGAGTGGTTGGACTTTCAGTTCAGGGTTTCGGGGAGCCAGCTAGGCCCACATGCTAAATCCCATGGAGAATCGCGTCACGCTGTGCACCACGGCGCAACACTCGGAACACTGCCGAGTTGCGCCTGTTCATAAAGCGGGGCTGGCCGGGCTTGATCGTCCGGAGACGACCCGCATCAACACACGTGCCAGGTCCCACGAGGGTCGTCCCCGCGTGCTGTAGACGATGGCGCAACAGACGGTTCATTCCGCTCGGAGCGATCACGATTTGTGCTGTCGCGATGCAGCGGGGGCGGGGCTTCGTCGGGACAGACCCCAGTTTGCTGGTAATAACACAGTACATGCCAGGTCCCACGAGGGGGCCGCCCCGTGCTGTAGACGCTGGCGCAGCAGATGTCTTGTTCCATTCGGAGCGATTCCGAGCTGTGCTGGTTGATGCAGCGGGGGCGGGTTTTCGTCCTGGGGCAACCCAGAACCCCTACGCTAATGAAAATAGCGCTAGGCCCCACATGGAAGCACCACTCGGTGCTAACATGGATATGACTGGTGTGGCCTCTCATTTTGGGCGCCCCCAGGCTGGATTTGCCCATACACCGGGGGCGGGAAAC